GCCACCTAGAGACTATGTTCAAAATATTTATTATGTATTTATGTTCAAATTTATTTTTCTAACAAATCAACTTCAAAACACTTAGGTTACTACAAATAATATCAAATAATGTAGATAAATTTTTATCAATTAACAAGGCATGGTCAATTTGGAAATGCTTGGTTGAAGAGTTTAATAATGTTTCAACCAAGATTTCAAAGAACAAGCCAGCTGGTTACATCAATGGTTTTGTGTATATGCTAATTGTGAGTGTTAAAATCATTCTAATTTAATGTTTAATTTGGCTAATTCATTTACTAAAATTAACTTTGATCTTATACATATTTGATTCCTAGAGCACACTTCCATTCATCACCCTAAGTACCCTGGCGAAAGGCCTTATTTCATTCGATGAGTCGATGACATTGTATATAATATCGAGAAGACCATTAAATTATTTATTATTTAAAGAAAAGATAGATACGTATGCAAATTTATTTGTTAATTTCAATAAATACCTCTTAAAGATAACTGAGAATAGGGATTTGCTAACAAATTAATTTTTCACAGATTTTTGATAACCTCCAAGGAGTTACCAAAGAGAAAGTTAATCTACTGGGCATCCAGAAATATCCATCAAGCCATAATTCTCCCATTCAAACCCCCACTCCTGAACAACTTCTCACCCACCAATCTCCCTGGCAACCCCAACACCAATCTGCCCAACAACCCCAACCCCAATCACCCAAGCAACCACACTTTTCATTTTTAGCTCAATCATTTGATGTTCTCCAAGAGAAAATAATCAAAATAGTCCATGATACCTACACAAACCTCTTCCATGAATTTAAAGGTAGGCTGAGCAGGAAGTTTAAGCAAATAGGTCAAAGAGTGGATTTAATTGATTACAAGCTCCACAATTACATTATTTAAGACACTCTCTATCTTGATCAAAAACATGCTCCCTCATCATCATGCAATCACCCAATGCAATATATAGGGATATATTATGAATATACAAAGACATAAGCCGCATACGAGACCAAACCCCCAGACGAGAAGACACTCTTTATCTTTATCAAAAATATGCTCCCTCTTCATCATGCAATCACCCAATGCAAAATATAGTACTACAGGAAATTCGTGCCTTACCGGCGGCCAAAATCCGTAGGAAAATGCCAAAAATTCTTCGGAAATTAGCATTTCCAGCGTATTTCCGACGAATTTTTTTTCTGACGGTAAAATGCGCGTCGGAAAAGCAGCTCCGGCGTAAAATAGTCCGCCAGAAATATTTCCGGTGAAATTAACGGTACAATTTCCGGCGGACTATTTTGCGCCATAATTTAAAAAAAGAAAGTAAAAAAAAAAAAACTATCAGATCAGCCATCCGGCAGCCCGAGCAACTCACTCGCGGGCTGCACCAGCCCTGCCAAACCGAAGACCCTCCAGAAACCTGCTCATAGCAGTCAAATGACTGCCCCGCCCGTGGCTAGCGAACCCGCGCAACACTACCTGCCTTAGGCGGGATTCGAACCCTCGCCAAACCTTCAAAGAGGCCCCAACCACTATACCGCTTATTCAAATCTATTACTTTTGGTTCTTCATAAGCTGCATACGAGACCAAACCCTAAGACGAGACCAAACCCCCAAACGAGACTAAAGCCCCAGAGAAGTCCAATATCCCAGAGCAGTCCAATGTCCCAAAGCAGTCTAATGTCTCAGAGAAGACCAAAGCTTTTAATGATAAAGAAGCAGTTGACTCAGAAGATGAAGTCAATTTTATAAAAAATTCAAAAGGTGTACAAGAAGCATAAATTAGATATTTCTAATACATCCCAAAAAGAACTATCTCAAAAAGAATCATCCAAAAAAAATCCCATAAAAAAACATCCTAAAAAGAACCATCCCAAAAAGTTTCATAAAAAAAAACTAATCAACGTTGATCATATTATATTAACTAATAACCCTGGAAGTTTAATAGTGAACTACATTGGCATAGAGATGTTGAGTTTTGAGCAGAAACATTTTATTAATGAAAACATTAAGAAGTTCACTGACAGGTAAACATTATTACGTACTGTATGCGTAATTACTATGTAATGTATGCATAATTAATGTGTATTATATGCATATTTTATATGTATTTTATACGTATTTTATTCGTAATATTATGTATTTTATTAGCTGCATATTTTCTTCCAATTTTTTTTTTCAGGAGTGATTCAATATTTTCTGCTGTGAACATTATAATTTTTAAATGTGACATGAATGAAATATTATCTGATTGTTACATTGACAATAATCATGTAGATGCCTTCGTCATTTTATTACATGAGAAGAGTAAACTTTTGCCCAACAAGCACCATAAATTTCTATATATCTAGACAATGTAATGGGTTAGTATACATGTTTAATTTATATATAATATTTTTAGCTGTTTAGTTTTATATTTTTTATATTTAATTCTTATATTTTATTTTTACAGGATCATAAATTGTAGGATAAAAATTTAAAATTGTTTATTAAACACATCAACTATAATTTTGTTCATTCATGCAACATTCTAATTCATCCAATTATTGACGGTTTGTATTGGACCCTTTTGGTTGGGTTGCGAAATGAAAGAAAGTGAAAATATTATGATTCTATTCCCAACCCCATGCATAGAAATATTACTACAAAGATAGTAAGTTTGAGATCATTTATTAAAAAATTTTGTAATTTAACAATGAACTAAATTATGTTCCTTATATTTATTCAGATTAGAAACTTATATAGAGATTGTAAAAAATCTTTTGAAGATGATATCAATAAATGGAAGTTTCAGGCTATCAAGAAGGCACAAACTCTGATAAATAATATAGATTGCGAAATATTTGTTTGCAAATATATGAAAAATATTATTCTACAAAACAACACCAACTGGAAAGATAATAAAGATTGGTAGGCTAATATACCAAAATATAAGATAGAATTCTCATATGCGTTGTTTTGTGCAGCATTGAAATGAACTTGTTATTTTCATAAATTTTTTTATGGTCATAAATTGTTCAAGGTACATTATTTTGTACATATAACTTTTAAGTAACTACTACTTGAAAGAGGTAAAAAATAAATCATGAAATAAAAACATATGAGCCAATGATCTATTCTTCTAAATAAAAATATTTAACCTTAGGTACATCGTTGATAAAAGAATTCATCATGGCAATTCTTGTGTGTACATCGAATGCAGTGTGTGGTTTTTGAAAAAATGTCAACTGCATATTTGCATGCCGCCTCTTCATGACAATTTTTGTGTTGAAGGTTTATACAATCATTTTTGCTAAACCTTCAGCACAGGAATTTCACGAAAATGCGGAAATGCTTCTTCACTGGATAGTGAGGATTACTGCGTATTGGCTGTGTAGTTCACACTACACAGTAACTACACAATTGAAGTTTTTGTAAAAACCTCACACCGCATTACATTAAAAGGCAATGAAAGAAGTAAACATCAAACAAGCTTATATAGATGAGAAACAATGATTATCCTTCAATATAATATGAACTTATAAAGGATAACAAGAAAATTAGTAAATAATATGTTTAGCTTTTCAACAACACAATAAATTTGTTTTTGTTCAAATATTTTTCTCCTTTGCTGGGGAACAAAAGAAAAAAAAAAATGAACTGTGAATTTATAGGATGAATAGCTGTTGTTGTTAATATTGCATTGTCTTTCTTATATGAATAGGAGGTGTCATTCCTGGTTTTGCAATGAATATGAGTTGCCAACAACCTTCAATCAAATTGGAGTTTGTAGGATCATGTATACCCTTTAGATTCTTTAATGTTTCCATGGCACATTCCACTACCTTCAGCAGCTCAGCAGAGGCTAAAAAGCGACGCCATTTGGATCCCGGCCAGGCAATACAGGGGGTGTGAGATCAGTTGGCAAGCTAGGCTTTGTTGGCAAAGGGTGGCTCTGCTAGGAGGTCGAGGCTGGCGTCGACGTGGTAGGCTGACTGGAATGAGGCACAACAGTAGCAGGTCGGACGGGAGAGAGTGAGGTCGGCATGGGGATCTGGCTGGAGGCTGAGAGAGAGGAGGTGGAGTGCGGCTCACAGGAGTTGGAATAGAGGAGGGATGGCCGACATCGGCGAGCTGCTTGTGTGAGACTCCAAGAGTTGGAAGCTTAAAAAGCCATGGCTCCCATCGTGGCTTCCGAACTGGAGAAGAATGCGAAGAATCTCATTTTAGAGTTTTTTTTTTAAATGGATGGTAGAGGAACGAAATCGGAAGAGGCACGAAATCAAGCAACACGAAGAGGAAGAGTTTAGGTTGTTGATGTGTATTACTTCATTATTTATTTCTAAAAGAAACGAAGAGTCGGAAGAGCCAAGCAGAATGAGAAGAAGAATAGGGGAAGAGGAGGGGTCGATGTTAATAACACATAGGGAAGCTCGAAACATACGAGAAATTAAAACGTCAAGAAGATTTAAAATTAATTTAGAATGAGTTGTACATAAATAGCGTTAAATTATGTAAGTATTATTTTTTGAATTATTAATTATTTATATTATAATGGATGACCAAGATAATTAAGAAAAAATAAAATGGATTATCAAGATTTGCTAGGGAAGGAAACTGAAGCCTCTTTTATAATAGTATCATAATTATTAATTATTTATATTATAATGAATGATCAAGATAATTTAAGAAAAAATAAAATGGATGATCAAGATTTGCTAGGGAAGGAAACTCAAGCCTCCTTTATAATTGTATCATATATATATTTAATATTTAACATTTTAATATTTCATTTCTACCACCGATAGAGTACTTTAACAGAAAATGTGTTTGATATGAATGAAATATTAAAATTTTAGGAACAAAATATGGACGACATATTTGATAGAAAATAAAATTTTGAATGATAGATAAATAATATTAAAATTTTAAATATTAGATATATAAATAAATTGGTATGTATGTATTTTCTTTATTATAAATAATTCAGATTTAAGCGATGACCCCCAAATATTATGATCGAAAGCTTTTACTTGCGGAATAAGTCCCCTAAAGTAGGTTTCCCTTCTCTCATCTATCATGGCTCCTCCTCTAGCCCAAAGCTCGAATCCTTTCGCCATGGATTCTGATCTTAATGACCCGCATTCCATGGGCACGACCATCATCGGCGTCACTTACGAGGGTGGTGTCGTTCTCGGCGCCGATTCGAGGACTAGTACAGGTCGGGCTATAATCTTCCTCTTGTTTTATTTTCTCCTTTGCTTTGAACGTTAGATTACAAAGCTTCTTGGATCTCAGTTTTCACTTCACCTCTCTGGCAGGGATGTATGTTGCTAACCGTGCATCGGATAAGATAACGCAGCTCACTGATAACATTTATGTGTGCCGTTCTGGATCGGTGAGTTTATATGTCTGAGGTTCGGACTGGAACTTAAATGTTGCTGATCGTAGATACGGGTTTTGATGAATGAAATAATGTATCCGCTTTGGGGTTTTCTTGGCTTTGCCATATTACTGATTGAGATGTTGTGTTTACTAATTTTGCATTTGAATAAGCACGAAGTAGTTTTGCATTTACTAATGTAGAACAATTCATGTAATACCTTTGTAGTTTTAACTTCATAAAGCACTATCCTATATTTGTATTAGGTAATGGTAGCTAAACCTTCTGGTTTGCATGGTAATAAGGGACAATTTAATGAAATAAATCTAATGGCATGATGGAAACAATGAGAGCTGAACAGAATTCATGAAAAAAAAAAGTATAAATATAAATGGCTATTCAAAATGTTTTTTGAATGCCTAATTGAAAATTTTTAGAGGCATTAAAGAAAAAAAATTATTCCAGACCTTATTAGAACTGAATAAAAGCAGGAGTAAGGAATTGCCATTCTATCGCATCACCAGTCCAGTTCAAACTTCAACAAATATTAAGATGCTGAAAATATTGGTAATATAAGGAATTTGTTTTCATTGAGCAGCTGAACATCTTGAAAATCTTTGATAATACTATACCTGTAATTGATATTCACCATGGAAACATGAAAGGAAAAGATGTTTCACTAGATTATTAAAGTTTGTTTTAAGTTTGTAGTGACGTGAATGCATTACATCTTACTTTTTAACACTTTCAAAGTGCATGCTCTAAAGTGTTTGGACAAAATCTTTATGAACTATAATTGTTGTTGCATTATGTCATAAGCTTAGATGTACCTTGATAAAACTGAATCATGGATCTTCATTTCTCACTTTATTTTTTTTCTTCGTACAAGTTTTATTGCACATGCTCTAAGTGGACGTTACTGAAGTTTTTTAAAAAATGATCATTATAAAATTCAAAACTATGAACATTATAATATTATTGTTTTTAAAATTTAATTAACATTAAAAGTTATTATCTAATATTATAAATTACATTGAAATAATGCAAAGTAAACCCATTGTATGGATAAAAAGAAACTTAGAGACTAATAATGTTTAATGATAGTAAGAGTTTAATTAAGTTTTTTCTCCCATAAAGAAAAGTGTCAGCTTTAAAAAAAATAATGTCAAATTTATAAATTCAAGTAATTAGGTAGATTTTCTCAACCAAAATTTAGAGGCTTATTATGGTGATGTTCATATATTTTAGAATAAGGATGAATTTTAATTAGTAAGAAAATGAATCAACCTTTTATCACACAAAAAAGAGATTAAAAGGGCACATAATCCTACGGATCATATTGCACATATGTTTTCTTAGTACGAAATATCTGTAATCTTTAGTTGGAGATGTCAATCATATTTCAGGCATGAAAATATTTGATAAACTTCTGTTAAATTGCTTATTTTTTAAGAATAATAATGAATGCTAATTAATTAGCAAGGAATAAAAGTGCATTTTCATGATACAAATAGGAGATCAGAAAAGCTTAATAATCAGAGTTGTACTAAAAATATGTTTTTTCTTAAAGAGAATTATGCATTGTCCAAAGTAGAAAACTTTTGGGTTTCTACTTTTTCCAGCTACAACAATGAAACATATATTATAACCAAAGAAATTGGTAATAGTTAAAGTTCCTCTAGAGATTTTACAATATGGAAGATAACTCGACAAAGAAATTGGCAATCCATGATGAAAGTAGCAAATCAGTTTGACTAAAGAAAAATAGTTGAGGAAATTTAGTAGAATGAACAATTGGAATCTTGATTTGATTTATAAAAAGCGGATTAACACATATTCAAACTTGCACAACAAAAGTCAAGTAAACAAATTCTGTGAAATGCATGACAAAAAGCATCACAAGAAGCAACAACTGAAACATTTAAAATTCTATCAAACTAGAGCCATCCAAAGTTGATGAAATGTATGGGAGTAGGACTTTACTATGGCAATTTTAGAGGATTTGCAGCCACGATAAGAATAAGAATGTGCACTTTGGACGATTGCATCAGAGGGATAATCTATCCTAAGAATGGATATATTTACCTACGAATGGATTTATCTTAAGCAAATATGTCTACTTGAGCCAAAGAATGATCTAGAGGGAGAATCTCATGATAGGTATTTATCTGATTTGACAAATCTATATACCAGTGAGTCAATCTTTTCGGTTCAAAAAATCTCATGCTAATCTTTTTGTAACCCAACCATAAAAACTTGAAACTGCGGTTTAAGAGTATCTCTTGATATGTGTTAGTCTAATAGAAACTCCTACGAGAGCAATAAGCTGTCTATGGAGCAGCATGTTTCACTAACATTGAATGGATATGTACACATAGAGACCTCACTAGATTGTATTTGAGATAAGGAAAAAAATTCTGATAACATTTCTTGCCTAGTGGAAATAGCCATATATGTTACAAAGTAACACGCGTAAATATTAACATATAAAAAGTACTATGTTTAAGCCCTGCATGCTGCTCCATGGCATACAAATGATACTTCAAATGATTATTAGTAGATGCTATTTCATCTGAGCCTTTCTAGAAAAAGCTCATATCAGAGTTTTAAGAGAATATCTCTGGTCAAATAAGGGTTAAAATTACTTCAAATTTTTTAGAATGGCCTGTTAATAGGAATTAATTTCCATCCAATAGCAACTTACAAAAGCCTCTAGAAACTCTTGCAACTAATTGAGGAATATTGTTTATAATTTTTTGTTCTTCTTCAAATGCTGCTCAAGTATCATGTTGCATAGTGAAGTTAGTACTTAATACATCATCATGTTTTAGTATTCAGTTAGTACTAGTGTTTTGCCTATACATCCATCTCCGCACATTCCACATCTTGGATGGAGCAAACAATTATCATACTATTTATAGGAATTTATTGGGGATTTAAGAAATATTGATACACAATTTAAACCTATATTATATGTATGCTCATTAGGTCATCTAATTTTTACTGAACTTACATGTACATAAAACACAATTGCGAACTAAAGGTATAAAAATACTATGGAAAATTTGATAAGCTTTGCATGTGAGATTCAATTAACTCAATGAAAAATCAAATCATATCTCCTATCGTGCAACAAATGCCGACTGTTTCATTTCAAAAATATTTTTGCTTGGAAAGTGAGCTAAAAGATTTGCAATTAATGCACCATACTAAATTGATTGAATAAGTCATAATATTTGATAAAATAAAAAAATAAAATTTGAAGCAATACCAATGCATCACGTTGAATCAATAACTTTTGGATATCCCTTGTAAATACACCATTCCAGCCCATGACTAAGTACAATCAATTCAACTGAAACATAATTTTGGGTTCCTGAACATTTGCCAAATGCAAAAAATGGTTTACTGTCATGATCCTGATAGGAAATACTTGAGTTCGCCAGCAAACCTATCACTAGTTGGAGAGAAAACAGTGAGAATAGAGCAAAAATCTGGGCGTAATCAGCCCCAAAAACAGTAAAATAGCAATAATGAAACAGCAAACCAACAATAAAGCAAGATACAAGTGATCCTCTATTTGAGAGGAGGATCGTTCTCTACTTCTCTCCCAATCTCTAGATGCAAGTTCTAGAGCCCTCAGACTCCAAGAGAAACTCAAATCTAAGCATGCCTCTCCCTTCTCCCTATCTCTCCTATTAATAAGCTCCCCCCTCCCCCTCCTAAAAAAATAATATTCAAATAAATTTAAATCCATGGGGTCCCACATATAGGCGGCAAGCTTAATTAGGTAGGAGGGAGGTGTTTTGAACCGCCTCCTGTAGTAAATTGCCAGTCCAGATGGGGCCGGCTGAGGCAGTTCTTTCTGAACCATCTTAAGAGGCCGTTCCATAAGAACCGCTATATCAGATTCCTAATTAACCCATTTGTACCAATTATGCATGATCTATTAATAGAGAAGTTAGTGTTTAACTTGACTTCACCTTCAATAGATTTAACCCACCGGCCACCACCAAAGCTAGATGATGAGAAAATTTTGGCGGAATGCTAAAGTTGAATACAATTCAACAACAATAGTCTTTTTATGCTTTAAGAGGAAGCATATTTGCACATAGTGCAATTATGATTTGGGATTTCACTTTATGAGTTATTCACCAATAAATTTCTTGTAGTTAGTGACATGTTTGTCATGCCAAGTGAACCTTATGATAAATATTGTGATTAGTGAGCGAAATATGAACTTTGTTGGAATGAGTCTATTCATAATTTTTTTTTCAAAATTGTAGCAGATTGTGATAATATGATTGATTTTAGTAACTTTAGCATCCTAAATGAAAACAAAAATTTTTATTTTATCACCGTATTAGTAAAACTAAAGTTGAAGATGTTTTGAAAAGTATGGTAAAGTGGTGGGACCTGATGATATTCAAATAGAGGTGTGGAAATGCTTTGGACATCAAGTAATTTCTTGACTTACTAAGCTTTTTAATATTATTTTGAAGGCTGAAAAGATATTAGATGAGTAGAGTGTGCTGGTTCTTACTTTAGTCTGAAACAAGAAATTGTTTTCCCTTAAAAAATACAAAACACTCAATATATTCTGTTTTAGATCTATTCAAACGAAAGCCTTTAGACTATAAGATTGACCTCCATAATTTAAGTTTACCTTCAACTCCATTCTTTAGACTATAAGATTGACCTCCATATATTCTGTTTTAGATCTATTCATGAGAGGGTTCCTAGGATTGACTGGATGCTACAGAAGGTTCGTGAAGGGATACAACACCATCGCCTGGCCCTTGACTGAGAAACTGAAGGACAATTTTCTCTTGGGAGAGGCGGCAACCCAAGCCTTTTAGAGGTTGAAAAAGGCTATGACGAGTTGACGACCGTTCCAGTGTTAGCCCTGCCAGATTTCAGTCAGATCTTTATAGTGGAGACCGATGCATCGGGATATGGCTTAGGAGCAGTGTTGATGCAGAATCACAGGCCTATATCATATTTCAGTCAGGTGC